CCCCCTGGGGGGTGATTTCTCACTTTCTGTCTCTCTCTGTTTCTCTCTGTCTGGCGAGCGCACACACCCTATAGCAAAACAAAACAAAACAAAACAAAAACAAAAACAAAAAACAAAACAATAAAAACCTCTTCAAAAAAAAATAAAAGGAAATCTATTAGTATTGATCAAAAACACTGCAAGCCAAACTACAAACTTTCAGATACTCAGGGCAAAAGATTACAGTTGAAACACATAATAAGCTAAAGCCTGGAAGTAAAAGCAGGGGAAAATTTCTTAGGGAAATTAGGACATTCAAAGTCAGCCATGTATATGATGAATTTAGAAAGCCACTGCATTCTCAAGGCAAAATGCACACTCAGAAAAGACCTGAGCAGACCCTAAGCTTTCACCCTGAGCTGATCCTGAGACCCAGATCGAGCCTAGCTAAGTGTTGAAAGAAAAATTACCACAGAGCCAATTTGCAAAGACCAAGAGGAATATTTTTTGTTTACTTGGTTGGTTGGTTGTTTTATTTAGTTCCTGGTGTTCAAGGAAGTATCTTTGAAAGCCCTAACAGAACAAACTAGGAATAGAATACAGAAACCACAAATAAGAAAAAATATGACAGCCTTTGCAAAAAAGAGTTTTTGAGACACAGTAAGCAAATGGTCTGCTATAGCCTTCAACCATCAAAACATCCAGAAAACTCTGGGTAAGGGGAAAATATGGTTTTCACAGTTATCATGTTATAATATTCAAATATCCAGTTTACAATGAAAATCATGAAGCGTGCAAAAAAACCCAGGAAATATAGCCCATCAAAAGGACAAAATAAGCAGACAATAATCCATAACTCTTATTACCCCTCCCAAGTAGCATAGTAGCACTTTCTTGGATTACTAAGATACCTTACTCAAAAGAAGACACTCTGAGAGAGTGATCTATGACAACAAAGAAGATCAATATGGGATGGGGACCGTCATGCTTTGTATTGAAGGGAGGGGAGGGAAGCTATTCATTCAAACACATTGAAAGTATTACACACATATTTTTCACTTCTATTTATATGTTTATTATCATCATAATCTTGTTTATATTTCATTGACTCACATATAACTTTACAGTGACTTCCATTTATATTTTGAATGCATACTTGAGTCACGACCAGATCACTTTATCTCATAAGAATAAGGGGAAGGAGGAAGGAACAGTCAATGGTGTGGTAGTAGCTGGATCCCACGTAGCTAACTGTGTAGTTTGAGTCCTGGACCCCATGACTTGAAAAACACACTGGGCACATGTGAGTATGTGCCCAAAATTCCAAAAAGAGAATGGAGGAGAAGGGATTGTGGTGTAGTCATCCCCCTGGGGAGGGATAATTTCTCAATTTTTTT